AACTCATTAAACCGTCTCTGTTAGTGTTTCCAACAATCACCAACTCTGGTTTGGTGGAAATAAATCCTTTTTCACCGACGTAGATGTGACTATGTTTCTGAAAAAGGCTGAAAACATTCAGCTTGAGCCCCAAAGAGCCCGAATATCTACTTTAAATATATTTATACATTCATTTAAATAGTTTATTAGAAGCTGAAATAAAGTACATTGTGAATATTATATAGTGAAAGTTATTATAAACATGAATAAGCAACAAATAAAGCCTCATGCGTTAAATATATTTAATACATTCTCTGTTTGGGCAGTTTGGGGCCCGAACCCAGCAGCTCGGGTCGGGTCGGGTCGGGTTCAGGCCAATAAGTAAACAGGGAGCAGCAACAGTGACTTCATAATAATGGTACAAACCAAATATTGAAATAATTCTTAACTAAAACATGAATCAAGGTGACTTAATGCAGGATAACACATTTATTTATTTGTGGTTATTACGTGAAGGTTTGATGTAAATGTCTGATTGTCGTTTGAGAAGCTTTAATTTGGAGAAGAAAAGATAATTATGTTGACCCAGTTGTCCTTTATGTGTCTGTGATTCAGGCTGTCAGATGTTAAGCAGATGTTCCTTCTATGACGATGTGGAGCCGGTCATTACTCTGAAGTGATATTGGAGCGACCCTCTGGACCCCGCTGAAGTGTCCTCTCTGACCTCCCTGTCAAAGGAGGACAGAGGAGGACTCAGCTGTAATAGAAGAGCTGTGTCCTACATTCGGTTCACATTCACACAGCTTCGTCCTCGCTGTTGTTAATGCAGCAAAACACATAACTGACGTAACCGGGGGTGCAAGGAGAACTTCATAAACCAACGCTTATTTAATGTTTAAGGGAGCATCAGTGACATATTTTATTGATATTTCATATTATATTTTAAAACTGCACAATGGACTCAAACAGTGAACTCCAGTGTGTAAAACCTACTTTTTATACAATTTTGTCTGTATTCTGGGTTTTAATCATTTTTAATAATCAAACAGATTTAATAATCTTCTTTTTCACAATTCAGCATTTTCTTCCCCTTTGACGCCTAACAACTGTTCTATTATACAATTTACTTTATATTTACTTTCTTGACTGCTCTGAACTTGATGCTGAGCTGTCGGCCTACTGTGTATGTTTTACGTTTTCTTACACCCTTTAAAATCAAGAAGCCCTCGCGACCCCTTTGTGAATCTTTGGTGACCCCTAGTGGAGGTCCCGACCCTCAGGTTGGGAACCA